ACACACACACACACACACACACACACACACACACACACACAGCTCTGACATCCTGACATTCTTCCACATCCATGCAAAAGCAGAAAAAGGTCACCGTGCTGGAGCCACTGAGCATGAATGTATCTGTACGTGTGTGTGGGTGTGTACTCGTACATCTGTCATTGTAAGGACCATCACCCTCTTTTGACCTTAGGAGGACGCTGTGGCAGTGGCACACTTTCAACTCTTTTAACTTCAAAGGTGCAGTCACATGACACCTACGCAGTGCACCCCTGATAGGGTACAGCCCTTTCAGTTCATTTCTGTGCTTTTCAAATTTGTTGTGAAAGCAAGAAGTTTTTACCAATGTAGTAATATTAATTTCTGTCCCTATTTTAAGTATTTAACCAGCAGAATTAGTTAAGTCTAACGTCAGTGATTTCACATCATGAACCTCCTGCTGTGCACCAACTGTGTGAAGATGTAACCCAGTGACAGACGGTAATTAAAGAGAGAGGGTGGACACAGCACAGGATGTGTGGGGTAGAGGTAAACGAGGATTAAGAGCATCCTCTCTGTCCTTGTTTCTTTATTCACTTTGAAAACTAGGAAGCAGAAACATGCAAGTTTTATAATTTTACTACAGATAAGTCTGCATGAACTTTATGTTTTAACCTTCTGATATAATCCAGTTTTTACCTTGTGTTAACAGCTAATGTTGGCTAGCATGCCTTAGAGCAGGGGTGTGCGATCTCAGTCCACGAGGGCCGGTGTCCTGCAGGTTTTAGATGTGTCCTCAAACCAACACAGCTGATTTAAATGGCTAAATTAGCTCCTCAACATGTCCTGAAGTTCTCCAGAGGCCTGGTAACGAACTCATGTGATTCAGGTGTGTTGACCCAGGTGAGATCTAAAACCTGCAGGACACCGGCCCTCGAGGACTGGGATTGCCCACCCCTGCCTTAGAGGCTCTGGCACTAAAGTTAGCATCTAGCATGATAAGAGGCTACTTCACCAGCTTCTTTCTTTTATGATAAATACCTGTCACAAGTTTATGAAGTCTAAGTCATAGATAATCTCCCTCTCTCACACTAGCTATGTTTCATGGCATTAGCCTAGCAGCTGCAATTATTAATCTCAGACAGTAATCCCCACCAACATATAAATTCATTTACTTGTACTTTTTGTAGTTTGTATATGCTCAACAGTACTAGTGAGTTAGCTGCTGGTGTGAGCAGCCTCGTCTGTGTTCATTTTCCTGAATTCACTAGGTGAATCAAAACAGCCCAACTGTAAACTGCTGTTAGCAAACATTAGAAACCTTATCTAGCATCAATTAATGGACACAAAGGCAAGAGGAAAGCAGACTGTGCCATGGTCAGCTCTCTCCTCTTCCTCCTTTTTCTAACCTTTTCCATTTGTATTTATACCACTGTGTTTTTGTATCTGTGAGTCGGTGTCAGCTAACAGTCTGTGTTTAGCAGGAGAGATGTGAGCAGAGGGATGGAGGGATGCATGGGCAGATAGAGAAGTGAGAGAGGGGGAGGACAGGAACCAGTCACCATATGTTGGCTATTTATTACACCTCCCTAAACTGTCACTCTCTCTCCATCTATTCATCCATCACCCTCTCGGCCTCATTCAGAACAGCACTGCAACACTGTTTATCTAAACGGAGCGACTTCGCTTATTTCTAGCAACACATTCTTATTCTGGAACTGCAGTGTTGTATATTTGCATGATTAACAGTTAAAAATAAATATCTTGTGCTGCGCCTTTTATAGCAAGTAAGATCCACAAAGGCTGAAAATGTTAGCTTGAATTAGCCCCAAGTGGACATTAGAGGAACTGCAGCCATTGGTGCATCTGCGTTTGCTTCATTTTCAGCGCACATTAGCACCGGATGCTCGGCAGCGTTAGCGCTGATTATCTAAGAATACCAATGCTGTGATGAAATACGGCGCTGGCTGCAGCGTGGAGCGGTCAGGGCTGCCTCTGTAATGCTGTAAATGTCCTTTTTTCTAAACTCACAACCTTATGATCTAATGCATAATCTACTGGGCAGGTTCCCGACAGGAAATCCTGGGATGATTTCCAACCTTGTGACAGTGATGGAGAGAAGTGCTATTCATGGGAATTCACCAAACTCGTAGGAGAAACTGAAAGAAAGTCAGAGCCTCTTTATCTCTTTCTGTTTCTGCGCTGGTTGACCACAACAGGAAGTTCACACTCACGGGAGTCACAAGAGAGCGTTTTGCTGCTTCCCCATGTGCGCTCGCAAAGAGAGAGATTGATGGGCATTCTCGCTCGCTCTTGATGACCCCCATCCCCTCCCGAGCCTCCATCTAACACTCAGCTGCCATCACCCATCCTCCACCGCTCCACCGATCCCGACGTTCCTGTTTCCTCGCTGCAGAACTCTGCCCAAACTTGTTAACGCACACTTGTGAAACTAAAAGCTGAATATCCCAAGGCAGAGATGACTTTCTCTGAGCTGCATGGACAAAAGCATGTCGTGCGTTGCCTTCTTTCTAAAAACATGACCAACTTTCAGTGCAGATGTAGACAGATGTTTATTTGATCTGAGCACAGCCACGCTTCATCAGATCTACACAACTTCAGCCCAAAAAACACTGATTTTAAAATATTGCTCAAGTGTTCACAGAATTTCCAGAAAATTGGCAAAAAAGTTCTAAATTGGACATCAGCGAGCGCCTCCATGCTGCTTACTGCTAATATCAACATTTAAAAGCATCAAAATAAACAGGCGCCAGTTTTTAATGTCAAGGCAGCAACTTTCCCACCTCAACGAAGCACAAAAGCCGTGTTTGTTGAAGAGTTGACTTGAACCCAAAAGCACAGAGGTCTTATTCTTTACACCCAGGCACCACATGCAACTCCACTTTATGTGAGCGGCCCCTTTTGTAATCGCCACACAGCGAACGGTTGTATCACGGGAGGATTTCAAAGGAGTCATGGAAGCAGGGGCGTATATAAGAGTTTTTAGATGGGGTGGCACACGCCCCGATTTCTAAGGGGGGG